TGTGTGAAAAGGATAAGTCTTGTAATATTAGGTATTATATACCTATCTATAATTAGTTTTAAGTTTATCGAAAAGCATTTGTGTAAGATGTATTAGTGATACCTTCGCCGGCGTCGTTGTCTCAAAATTTTATAACACAAGTAGTTTAGCTATTTGCTTTGAGTGAACTTGCGTGTAGGTAAATTAGCAACCCGCGCATTCCAAGTTAATTTTTCACTTCCAGCATGTATGGCTTACATACATATATAAAATCCTAGATAAATGTCAACGTAGAATTTTGGGGGATAACAGCTGTCCGTTGGGTGATTTCAAGAGGTGAACCCATTCCCATAATAGCAGCTTTTAAAATATTATCTATTGTTCGTGACTGTATGTTTACTTTATTCCCACAAAATGCCACAGGCATTTAAGTGGTCGTAAAAACAACTGGTGTTAATTTGTAGGTGTCATGTCCCTAAATACTTCACAAATTCTAATGAAGGTGGTATTTCTCATAACTTTTAACGATCATTTCACTACAAATAAAAAAGATGCTCAGAACCTAAGAAGAAAATAATATTTTAAACTTTATTAAAAAAAAAAACAATTACAAGCAACTGTAGGCAGGTTGAAGAATAAGGATGTTATTTGGTTGAATGATATTGTTTAATTTTCTAGAAGTTACGATTATATTGATTAGGCGTTTGTCTGGGTTTTGGCTGTTTTATTAATGGCTTGCTATTTCGAATAGCTTGTAGTAGTAGTAACAAGTTAAATGAGTCCTCGTTTTTGGAGTGAGTTGATTGCAATTTGGTTTTTGCAGATGCTCATGTTTTGTCACTCTCATGGGCAAGTGTGTCGGCGACGATCGTGACTCGACCTACTGACTGGCATCGGCCGGCCGCGCAGCGTGTGCCGAGACGAGACATTTCACTATCGTTTCTACACCATCTCCGCATCTCGAGGCCTATTTCGATACATCAAAACGATTAAAAACATAATTGATCATACACGCCGTCGTGTATATACAACATAATATGAGAGCTATCAATAGAGCGCGCAACCGTCTCATCATTTCTGTTGTATCGTTTTTATTAAACGTTTTTCGGGGTCTACATAAATTACTTGGTGTATCTATTCTTGTATCTTCATTTGTCATCGGTCGAAAAATATTAATTTGGACAGGTGATTAATGTCGCTGATTGCAGGTAGCGATGAGGTCTTCATAAACGATTAAAGCTCTACGTTTCATATTTACGGAAGTTTCTCTATCTTTGTTAGTGGTGTCAATAAGTAGACCTGTAAATGTAGTGGTAGTAAGTGGTAATTTCAGAGTATTGCTCTTTAATTATTACTCTTCCGAATACAAGTCTCACGTTAGATATTCATTAGCAGACACAACAAAAAGGAGACTACAAAATTTCGCTGTGGATGATAATTATGACGTCATCTGTAAGGTTTGTTAGTAGAGGAGAAACTGACTGTGAGTCATTAATGTTTGCCTACCCAACTAATTTATGCAAATTGTTTATAGAATATTGCAAACAACACAATAAAAATGATTAAAAACGAAGTTTATATGCATTTAAGTAAATATTAGGCGAGATGATGTGCATTCATATTTAGATCCCATGTCAAATTAATGTTAGTAGCTGTAGCAGTGGTGGTACAGTCATTAGAAACTATACTAAACAGTTGTGAATTTCTGTTTTCATATGTAACCAGTAATAATTATAGATTCTTATTAATTGTAATATGAAATCACATTCGGAAATTTGGACTTGTCAATAGAATAATACCAGCATTTGTTATATTTGTTCCTTAGGCTTTCACGCACATCACTCATTAAATGAAACTAGTTTTTACTGGTTAATGCACTAAATTTATTTATTTATTGACGTTTCGCAGCCTTTTCAGGTCTGCACCGTCAAAATAATGTTTTTTTATTTACTTTGTCGAGTTATAAAATAGATAACTATATAATAATATAAAAGAGCTATAAAATTAAATAAATAAATAAATTGCTCTCATTCTCACTCTTACTCTCATAAACTCACTTTTTCAAACTCACCGCGGAATTCGCGTGTGATTTGAAATTAGAAGAAAAATTTCAAATCCCACTGCGTAATCCGTTTATCCTTATCATGATCTTTAGGGAATGAAAAGAGATGCTCCTGTCTTTACAATTAATAGCAAATAAAGTATATTTCGATATTATTCATTAAACATGTTTTTTAATTTGTTAAGACAATTTTGTGTTAATTACTTTTTTATAACAAACCAAACTGCTATGATGATGACGAAAAGAATACTTTGTAGGTATATATAGTAGGTAATTACTAAAGTAATTCTAGTACTGGTTTTGAGCGAACAAGGTTACATATTAGTAGATATTAAATAAGTAAAATATAGGTTTACTCTTACATTAAAATGTTGCAGTACCTATATAATAAATGTCTCATGTTCGTACCTATTGAAATTAGTATTCTTTTATCGTTTTTTTTTGTCAAAAGCGGAAGATTCTTTATTAAACTCGTAAATAAGTCGAAACGAAAAGAAACAGTCTCAACGTTTCCTTCTAAACTTTAGGTAGATATGTTTGGTGAGTTTAGAGTGTACCTATTGATGTTTATCTAACGGTTCATGTATGTTACCCTCGTGTTTAGGGCACAAGCAAATGTTGCGTATCAACGTCGAAAAACAATTAAAGAACAGACGGGCTGAATTGCTTCCGCCACGCATGAGACGCTCGACCGACTCTCGCTATTTATAAAAAAAAAACGGGTCAAGTGCGAGTCGTACTCGCGCAAGTAGGGTTCCGTACGATATATCTATAATGTCTAATGTTGTACGATATACCTACAACATTAGACACTATATTAAAATATCTAGCAAAAAACGATAACAAATTATGTCTGTTGTAAAAGAGCTCCCTTAAATATTTATTTTAACTTAATTTAATGATTTATTATAATAATAATATTTCCTTTGCCGTTATTAATAAAGAAAAAACGGCAAAAAACACACGTTTATTGTATTGGAGCCCCCTTAAATGTTTATTTTATTCTTTTTTTAGTACATCATCTGTGGAAATTTCAACTGTCTGGCTATCACGGTTCATGAGTTCCAGCCTGGTGGCAGATAGACGGACGCACAGTGTAGTCTTTGTAATTAGGGTCCCGTTTTACCCTTTGGGTATGGAACCTTAAAAAAGAGCCCATTCATGTAGGTACCTTAATTTGAAATTTAAAATTTTTGTTTTTATATCGAACATTTTAGATTTTGCATAAATATACTTCATGAAAATTATAATAACATCAATAGGAGAAATCGTATTTACTAAGTACGTAGTTATACTTTAATTAAATAAATTTTGCAAAAAGACTATGAGATTTAAAACGTCACTGACCCACGTGCTATATTATTGTATTGTCACCGCGAAGGAATCTATAAATGCACTTTTTAAAGTCTATTGACTTAATATCTAAATGCTGTCGTAAAGAGTACCTATGATTTACAATCAAAATAGTACATAGTTGAAAATATATTGTAAATTATCTTTTTCCGTCGTTTAGAAAATATCTGTTTCTCAAGTCTGTAGTTAATGCTTAGCAGCGTTCAACGCACTTTGGCAGTACTCGGCGCAACGTGTGTTGAATAAATATTGAAAATGACCCTATTTACGGTTAAACATTTGATTGTGTTGCTGTACTATACTCCTAAGAAGCTTTTTATTATCCATGTTTGTATTGACAACAAAAAAGGAAAGCAAATTTGATGTACCTAATTACTTAAAACAACATTGACCCATTTAAGATGCTGACGTAGAAATTGAATCCGTATTCAATACTACGCAGTTCGATTTATAGTGATTGCCATGGCGCAAATGGATATAAAGTAAAACCACAGATTTCAAACAGACATTAAATCTTTACATTGGCTAGCTCGTAGGTATTCAAACAGGAAGGTCAGCCAGGATATATTATGGAAGAAGGGTCTTCGAATCTCCGCTCTGATAAACAAGCATTTCTAAAACGGACGTTGTAAATGAGCGTGCGAATGCGAAATCGTATGCATCGTACCGAAACGATGTGTTTGGAATATCACCTTTATATTTTTGGAAGGGAAACAGACTTTGTCGGAAGCGGGGCGAACGACAGATTTCGCCGGCGAATAACAAACAATATGCCGCGCTGTCTCATGGCCGCTCGGTCGCGCACGCCCTGCGCTGCTGCGCCGGCGACCGATGTTACCAAGTGTGAAATTGAGTGGTAACTTTTTTGTTCGAACTGAAATGTGCATAAGGTAGAGGCATATTTTAAAGATTTTTTTTATAAATTGTACATCTTTGGTCTTGTTTGTTGAAACTTGAAATTTGGATATTGGAGTTATTAGTTACGAGAGATCTGAGGTAGGTTGTAGAAAATAGGTGTTAGATTAAAAATCTAATTAATGATGAGATTTATTATTTTTCTAATAAGAAGTTAGATATGGTAGGATAAAAGGAAATACACAGTAAATAGCTTGAACTTAACAAATCAAAATTATTAAAATTTTGTATTTAAATTTTTATGATTTCTTTTTCGTGTTGACTGTACCAGTAATGCCGCGAGACTGGTTTCAGCAGTGCACTTATCTGTTTGATCTTTAAAAGTCTAGCAGGGAAAGGTTCATTAAAAAATAAATGATATTGGAGTCTATTCTATGATAGAAGGTCATAGTATGAATGAGAAAATATAAAATCCCACACTACCGAAATGTTATATTTTTCTAATCCGTTACACAAATTTATATTAATTAAAAATGTTGAATATTTGAGTAAAGATTATATTATATCAGAATATTCAATTTGAATTTACAAAGAAAATCGCAAAAAAAATCATTCAATTTGCTTCTGATTGGGTTAGTACACCAAGTGGCAACTCCTTTAGGCGTTGTAAAGGGCTACTGGAATATTCAAATAGGCACAAATGTTTAGTTTGCGAAATAGCCATGCGAGGAAAATGCCACGAGAGGCTTACCTTGGAGGGAGACGTGTTGCTTGCGCCGGTCACATTATAGCGGCGCCGTGTCAGCGCGCCGCAGCCGCAAAACTGCATCAAACAAACGCAAAAATTAGTTTAAAGAAAATTTTACTAGAAAGGAAAATCCACTCGGTCCAGGCATCACTCAGGATTAGGGTTGCCAGATGCTGGCTTATCAATTCCAGGACATTTGACCCGGACCCGGACACATCCGGGGTAATGGGTATCAGTATATTATCATTATTATTATTAGCCTATTAGTATCTCCGCTGCTGAAAACTGGCATTTCCTGTTGTTTAAATATGAAGAACAGACCAGAGTCACCACGCGGAAACCAGTACATATTGTTAAGGGCCTACGACTGCAGAAGCGGTCTGGACCAACAGCTGAACTTGCCTTTCAAACATGGAGGACGAGAGGAAAAAAAATGGAGCCATCGAGCTCCTCCTGGAACAGTAATGCGGTGATTCTTCACCTTAAATGCCATGATAACTTCGCAGGGGTACAAAACGCAATTTTCATATTAGTTTAGCATTGGAAAATCGAAGTTCTTACCACAAATCTACCTATAAACTAAGATAATAAAACTGTATTTCTAAAATTGGGTTAAGTAAGATATTTATGTGGCCTGCAATGCTGGTTGCAGTTGCAGCTTACTTTAGCCCCACATATTGAGTTAAAGCTCCCGTGTCTCAAGCAAGAGGGACGCTTTCTAGCAATATCGGAGTGATGTATGCTCGCAACTCTAAACAGGGTTTCCACTACACCTTTACATTTGATTTTTAAGACTATTATTGTAGTTATATCGAATATAAATTTTACATGTTAAAGTACCATACTTTTAGTGTTATGTACGAAGCTTAGAAACTTAAAAGCTGCGTATAGAATGTTGATGAATAATATTTTAACACACTTATACCTTTTCAAACATTTAGCAGCTCAGATTATTGCTTTTAACTTAAGTTTTCAATGTACCTTAATAAAATGTTATCTCTCCGAAGTAGTATTAAGAAACATCTGATCCCTTTGTTCGTAGTTTAGGCGCTGATACCTGCGACACAGTCTTCGAGACTAATGCGGATATCGACGAATAAATAATAGTTTAAGAATATTTTTTTAATGTTCTCAATAATATTTTATTAATATTTTCCAACTTACTTTTTGCTTCTAAAATATTAAAACAACTATATTAACGAGTAACTTACAAATTTTGCTGGGAATTCCGAATTCACTTCTAGTTTAATTTCAACATAAACTTCAAGCTTACGGAGTACCTATTATATTAAAAACAATTAATGCTACCTGAAAAAAAGGCTACAGCCCTAGTCTGACTGAATGCAGCGCGTGTGACGCCGCACCCGGCTGCCGCCCGCGCCGACGACGCTGTCGACCGGCAGACCGGCACACAAACCTCTTGAAAGTTGATCGACTGGGCCTACATCCACTTATTAATAATTGTGTAGGAACTACAGAATGGTCCTCTTATTAAAACACTTCTCGTTATAAACCTAAATTCTATGAAAACGATTAATCGCAATTAGCGAATGCGGTTAAGAAGATTGATCTTTTAGTAACATACATTCCACATCAGGTATCAATCAATATTTAAATACTTAAATAATTAGTGAGCCTTTGTTTTAATAATGTTTTTAGATAATGTAAACATTAAAAAGCGTTTTCATTGGATGTTTTCAGTTTTTAATAATATTAGTTTTACGATTGAAAAGTTGATTGCAAAATTTAATAATAAACTTGAATTTAGCAACTCTACATACTCGTATGTTCCTATTTTATAATGAGAAATGTAATCTCTTAAGATTAGATTTGATCATATTTAAGAGGCAGAGTATACAGAAGCATTAGTTTACCTCTGTGGAGCAGTAAAAGAATGGCCAGCAGCGAAGATTAGACGTCAGTTAGTAAACAAAGGGGATGTCAATATTGGTTTGTATGGGCGGCGAACGGCCGGCTCCCGAGAATCCGACCATGGCTCTTATTGAAGTAGGTATCGCGATTGTCTCGCAACAAAGATTGTCTTTTTAAAAGCATGTCGATACATTTCTATTTAAAGCAGACGTAGGAAACGTTGTTACACCTCTGGATTTTCGAATTATATCATGAAGAAGGCCAATAAGTTGTCTAATGGTTGTTGGTTATAGAAGTAACATTTGATTTTTTTTACTGCACGTGGGATATACTTCAGATTTTCATTCCCAGGGATGAAACTACATAGATTTTTATTCATGTAAAAAAGATAAGGTAAAACGCAATTTATGAATATAAAGCCGTTTCCAATCGGCTGAACATTATCCCGAAGCTTTTGAGATAAAAGGAAATTCGTACGAGTAGTTATTGAAATTCTATCTAACTCTACCTGATGAGTTTATTTACTCAGGGTTCTTTATACCTTCTACCATGGATGGACCTATAAATTTAATCATTAATTTAACTAAATATCGTACGTGTGTATCTACATAAGTACAGAGGTACGGGTGTTGGTTAAAGCTAAAAAGAATTTTAATTTTATTTATTTTAAAATCGCAGACATAATCGTTTAGTTAATACTTTGCTAAGGTAGTAATTACAAATATAGCCTACACCTAAACAGGTTTCCAATTACATCATTAGCAGCTGTTTTGTTGTTGACTAGTTAGTCAGATTAAATTCGACACAGAAGCTATTATTTGAAATGTATTTTTTATAACAAAACAATATTATATTTATAATAACTATACATTATTACGCCTTAATTAGGACAATTCTAGAAGACAATCCTTTATAATTGAAATATGGTAATACAATTCGTATTGCAGTGAACTTTGAACTACTCAAACTAAACATTTCATTATCAAAAACCTCTGTCCTTACTGTGTCAAATGTTCCTATGCGTTTGCATTTTTTTATTAAATCATAAATACGTATAAAATTAGCTGAAGAGTTTCTTAAATTATATGATTCAATATTGATGAATATCTATCTGTTTGCCCGCAATGATATGTTTCATTAGGTTCATTGAAAAACAGACGATCATGAAACATGTGACCGACTATAATTTGTTGATTGACCATGAAATTGCCGATGTGATAAACTAATAACAATGACCGTGTTGTACTTTGATTGGCATTCATATAGTTCTTTTACGTAGTTTAATTTGATAGTACAATGTCTGGATTTATGGCGTTGTTTGGAGTGAAAATTCCTTAACGCTTATTTTTGGATGGGTGACCGAGAGTTAATTATCTCGAGCATGAGAAAGCGAGAAAGGTTTATAATGTTTTCAGACGTTTCCTTCCTCTATTCGTTTTTATATCTGTACTGGATCCAAGTTGAAATTCAAGACCCTTTTTTCAAATTTGATAATTTTATAGGGCATGTGCCTACATCTACAGGAGAATATTAACTTGGCTACACTTAGTTCGACTTAAGATTTTAATCATGTTTACAACGCAATAAACATGTCTTCGTTTCGGAAGCGAAGTGAAATAGCCTAGAGCTAGGCTATTTCACACACTCATCAAGTGTACAACCTCATTAGGCTATCTGTAGAAAAACCTAGACAGAAGCCTACTTAGTAGACACTATGTGATACAGTCGAGTAGTTAGGTGGTACGTGGACAATCGTAAAGACTTTTATTAGCTTTACCTAGTGTCCGCAATCCAGTCCAGATAATAATGTTTTCATGGCAGTTGTGTTAGGTTTCTTTAGGTATGTATGATTTACGATGTAAGGTGAAAGGAATTTTGCATCAACTCTGTTTTTTTTTTAATTTTTACTCATAAAGAACCAACAGAATTTTATTTTCGCAAATAAGAGGTAGGATGTAAATGGGCGTTGAAGTAAGGTTAGTAGACTTATACTAATTAGACAATCGGTGACCAGAAAATTGCTCCTTCAACTACCCAGTGGCCAATAAATAACCGTGCCTAGATTGAACTATTTATTAATTTGAAAAAATAAAAAGTATATTAACCTATTATCTAAACGGATACATAGTCTTATAACAGTACAATGACTGTCAGTAGAACTCGTGAAAGCAAAACATCAACTCCGTTTGCTTCTAAACATTGTGTGCAAATTTGTGTCGATAAAAGCAAATACTCGCACAAGTGTTATTGCTTGTTTATGCATTTCGTGGTTTGTGGCCTTCCCGTCACCTCCTTTACAGACAGAGGTTTCTTATTTGCATTCTATCAAATACTTTTCTTTGCTGTGATTACATGCGTTTTTGTCTTCCGATTAGAATATAATAGCACAAGAATGTTTTTTCAAACTTACACGTTAGTTTTACATACTTTACGGGTACTGTTCTCGCCTTAGAGCATTTGCTATAATATCTAAGGTTCTTTCTGACGGTTTCAACTGTTTGAAAAATTGAGGTTACTTGCTACACTGTGTTTTCTGCAAATATTCCTTTTATTATATCATTAATTATAGGAACTCCACGTAGTATTGTATAAACTAAAGTGGTTTTAAATCTACGTTAAAAAATAAAAAAGTACTTGTAAGCTGCTCTATATTTTGTTTGGTTTGTTATCTAATACAGATAGTGTTTGTGCGCAATTTGTTGAGAACTCTTTCAAACCATAATTGTTTATGTAATAGAATATTAGAATTTGTTTATGTTTTTAATTGTTATAAAAAACTTTGAAGAATTTTGATAACGCATCAGGCATACGTCATGATGAACAAACGGTCATGAAGAATAATGAAGTATGGTACTGTAAGAACTAGATTGTTGATAAATTGATAAACTTGGTGGTCAAAGGTTAATCGATAAAATTACGATAGTTATTTAACGTAACGGTATGGATTATGTGAAAAATTGCCAGTGTCTTATTAAAAAGTTTCAATAGCACTTGGTTTATTAGGTAAGACTTCGTCCCACGTCGACTTAAGATTCGAACGCTATAATTATGATAATTTAATAAAACTTTCCAGGAAGTTTTTTCGTTGATCAATATCGAAAATCACATGAAATAGTAATTTAACTATGACTATATAAATATGTGCGGATAGGTACGTTCTGTAATATTTAACCCTTTTTTATAATGCCAAGGAAACGTAAAAT